GGTTTCTAGAGCAAGCACCGGCATCCTATACTACTTGGGATGAAATATACAATGTCTTCATCTCCAAGTACTACACCCCAACAATGACGAAAGAGCTACGACAACGAATCTTCAACTTCAAACAACAAGTTGGAGAACTCTTTCAAGACGTGACGTGCACTCGTCGTTAGGTGCACTCAAAATAATTAATCAATACGACACTAATACGTAGTATAGTGTAGTAAGGTTCGTATCCACAGGGAAAGGAATACTTTTCTTTTATATAAATAGTAACAAAAGGGGGTTTAGATTTGTTTGCTTTAATAACACTAAGATAAACGACCTATATGAGTTTAATTCAATGAGATGGGGACTTGGTTTTGCTTTTATCCACTTAATGAAATGTTCGTCGATCCCGGTTATATCTTTAACTATCTTCCTCTCGAATACTCAATCGAGGAGTATATCCAGTTCATCGAGGGTAGTTATTAATAACGAGATGCGTTCATTAATAAAACTTACTATCGAGTCAATATAGAACAAGCGCCGTATATTAACTTGATAGTAGCAATAAACTTAAGATGAAAACGATTGAGATTGATAACCTCAACACAAGCGGTTTATTGGTTTAATCAATATAATTAATTCCCCTTGGCATATTAACCATGAGATGCATGCGTTACTATTCCAAGTTTACTACCGTTGAAAGAACCGGCTTAATAACAAGCGTATTAACCGATTGATTCTAGTAATAATTAATATGAGAAACAATACTAGTTGATACTTTAAGTAATGTTTAAGATATTAACATGAAATATGAATAGGAATTAATCAATACTCAAGGAAGAATATTAAAATATATGAATCCTACTATGATTAATATCAAGATGTTAACTAATTGTCATCTTAGTAACACTCCCCAATATTATCATAGAGGAAGAAATACCTATTACTATAACCAATGTCAAGATGTTAACTAATTGTCATCTTAGTAACACTCCCCAACTTTGATATAGAGATAGTATTTTGAAAGAAAGATGTAATATTCAAGGAAGAAGATTAAAGAAAATAACTCACAACTTACAAATTCATTAAGCTTCAAAGTAGCAAAACCAAGATGGAAGAGTTTAGCTCCTCATTTGGAGACTAAACATGATGAAAAATATAAAGAAAGAGCTATTCTATGCTGAGCTTAGATGTACAAAGGGATTGGATGTCTTTTGTGAAGGAAAGGAGGTGTATTTATAGGTTTTTGGGATGGGATTCGGGTACTCGATCGGGTATATACATGGTACCCGATCGAGTATGTGTGTAACACCCGATCCGAGGCATACTCGACCGGTTTCAGGCTATTTTCTAAGTGTATACCCGATCGAGTATATATGAATACCCGGTCGAGTATGCTTAGAAAGTGGTATTCGGGCTATACTCGACCGATCTTCGTTCGCAATTTAAAGGCATACCCGATCGGGTATGTCGGTCTACCCGATCGGGTATAGACATAGAATCGTGGCCAAAATCTTCCCTGCATGTTCCTTTGTCTTCGGATCTGATCCGATTTGAAGTTCCAACCTAATACCCGATCGAGTATAGCTAATACTCGACCGAGTATAGACCAAAATTCAGGATCTTCTTTTGTCTTTGAACTTTTGCACCTTCTCTTCACTTTTTGGGTTCACCAACTGTACTTTGGGTGACCAAAACCTGCTTAAGCTCAGAATATATCTAATCTAACCTATTTACAAGAATTTAACAATCTAATCTATTACACCAAAAGTGTGTAATTTCCAAAGTAAAAGTCAAGCAAAACTAATTAAAAACATAAACATAGAAATGGAAATTACGAACGTATCAACTCCCCCACACTTAAACCTTTACTCGTCTCGAGTAAGATCAAATGTTTACAAGTGTCAATGTTTGTCCAAAAGTTCCACAGTTCAACAAAAATATAATACAAACACAAAGACCACCAAGGATTACAAAGAAAAATGAGTTTTAAACTCAAATTACAAAAGAGCATCTTGGGTTTAATGGCCTCCTAGTGTTGTCTTCTTTTCTCCTCCTCTCTTCTTCTTTATCTTGAATCTTCATATTCTTCATAAGGATACAATGAGTGCCTGCAAGAACAAACATTTCTCATAAAATTTCACCGCCTATTAGGCTTTCATTATTAAAAAATCATCAAACATCTTTGCGATATTGAAATTTGTTTATATTTTTCTGGGACCACAAATACTTTTTCTATGTTTTATGCTAATAAGCAAATCAAATTTAGGGCACGATTGGTTCGAGGTAATCTCTTATACAGGTTGGAATCTGATACCCGGAATGTGAGATACTTGCGTTTAGTTCGTGGGTTTGAAAAAAAATTGGGATTGTTACATTCCCAAAGAGTGAAAAAGGTAATCACATAGCCACTAATGTGAAACCTACTAAGCCCTTAGGTTATGTTACATTCCCGGTTGATTATTAATTTTCTCCAAAAGTGCCTATGCTTCATTTAATCGCGAGGATAATATCATACGAGAACCACGGAATGCAACTCTCTTCTCCATATTTCACACGTGAACCACTGAACATCTCTCTTCTCTATCTTTAAAATCAGATAATTTCTTTCTCTATTTTTCATTTTTCTATAAGTGTTCTTCTTTAACCTCCTTTTCTCCGTTCTTTAAGTCTCTTTAAGCTTCTTCCAAACGGGTAGTTCATCTCCATTTAAATTTCCTTTTAAATTGTCTTGCCGTCTTGTAAATTTTATCTCCATTTAGTATTCTAACCTCTCCGTTTAGGAATATAGGTGATTGAAGCGGAAGCCAATATGAGACAATTGAGAATTACAGAGAAGCTAAAAACTAATACTAGAAAATTGTTTAAGTTGGTGGGAAGAGAAATGTATTGCATTGTTTAACTATGCAATTATCTTCAAAAATTCATTTGAGTTTCCTTCCAATTGAATTTTTAGCTGAAATTTAGTATTAGTAAACTAGACTTAATAAAGAAGATGCTCAAAAAATTTTATCAAAAAATTTCTATCGGGTGTTCCAAACAGCGACGGCAGTACAGAACATCCTTTAACCTATTTTTCAAACATAGGATAGGATTAAATGAATGCAAGGTTGTTTTTACCCTGGGCCAGGGCCCACCCAGGACCCCCTTCCCTCCGCCCCTGCGTAGTACGATAGTATAATAGAGGTTTTTCTTTTCTCTAGAGGCCAGGAGAATTCAGTCATCTTAATCCTCTCCCTCTCTATCACCTCAATCTCTGCAGTAAAAAACTTGACAACAGAAAACGAAAGGAAAGGAAAAAAAAAGAGTGGGACTTGATGTATGTTATGAGCCATGAGAGCATGGCCTTGGGCTCGTTCTGCCTGGGGAAACAACAAAAACTGATTGATATGAAGCTGGTGAACTTTTAGCTTTGTATGGGCATCGTTTAAATCACGTACGAGGTAATTCTATACTCTGTCTCAGCTTTTATGTTTCCCTGTTTCTCCTTATGCATTTATTTTTTTCAAATTAGGATTTTAGCTTTGTGTTTCTTAAGCTCATGTAATAATGGGCGGTTATAACTTATATTCCCAGAAAACAGAAACTAGCTAGAAGCCTAGAAACATACAGTTTTATCCTTCCTGCGATTAACTCTCTTCAAGTTCTCCCTCAATGTTAGATGGGCGATGAGGGATGGAGGGTTAAGATTTCTAGAAGAGGAATTTCTTTTCCAGATGGCAATTATCAAGAATAGCGTGACCCTTACTTTTGTTTTCAACTTTTCCCTTTTAATTTATTCTTTGTAACCGAATCGAATCGGTCTCGTTATCGTTTGAATATCTCTCAATAGATACGGCTCCAGTCGATTTTTGTCAAACAATAAATGTTATAAAGTTTGGGTACATTTGTTTTTTTAGTAATTATTTCAAATAGGAACAAAACTACGGTGAAATGAAAAAAATGGGACAGTTTTTCTCTAAATAAGATCAAATTGGCCTGCGGGTCTTGAGCAAGACCCTAAAATGGCCTTGCACAAGCGATTGGGATATTCAGGATGAACAAAACTATGCGGTTGATGCATGTAAATTTTTTGGGTGAGGTGATTATGAAGAAAGACATTTTAAAAAAACCAGTTGACAAACAACTCAATCAAAGAAAATAGCAAGAGTAAGAACAATACTGACGTGCACTTGTCGTTAGGTGCACTCAAAATAAATAATCAATACGACACTAATACGTAGTATAGTGTAGTAAGGTTCGTATCCACATGGAAATGAATACTTTTCTTTTATATAAAAAGTAACAAGGGGGTTTAGATTTGTTTGGTTTAATAATACTAAGATAAACGACCTATATGAGTTTAATTCAATGAGATGAAGACTTGGTTTTGCTTTTATTCCCTTAATGAAATGTTCGTCGATCCCGGTTATATCTTTAACTATCTTCCTCTCGAATACTCAATCGAGGAGTATATCCAGTTCATCGAGGGTAGTTATTAATAACGAGATGCGTTCATTAATAAAACTTACTATCGAGTCAATATAGAACAAGCGCCGTATATTAACTTGATAGCAGCAATAAACTTAAGATGAAAACGATTGAGATTGATAACCTCAACACAAGCGGTTTATTGGTTTAATCGATATAATTAATTCCCCTTGGCATATCAACCATGAGATGCATGCATTAATATTCCAAGTTTACTACCGTTGAAAGAACCGGATTAATAACAAGCGTATTAACCGATTGATTCTAGTAATAATTAATATGAGAAACAATACTAGTTGATACTTTAAGTAATGTTTAAGATATTAACATGAAATATGAATAGGAATTAATTAATACTCAAGGAAGAATATTAAAATATATGAATCCTACTATGATTAATATCAAGATGTTAACTAATTGTCATCTTAGTAACACTCCCCAATATTATCATAGAGGAAGAAATAGCTATTACTATAACCAATGTCAAGATGTTAACTAATTGTCATCTTAGTAACACTCCCCAACTTTGATATAGAGATAGTATTTTGAAAGAAAGAATTAATATTCAAGGAAGAAGATTAAAGAAAATAACTCACAACTTACAAATTCATTAAGCTTCAAAGTAGCAAAACCAAGATGGAAGAGTTTAGCTCCTCATTTGGAGACTAAACATGATGAAAAATATAAAGAAAGAGCTATTCTATACTGAGCTTAGATGTACAAAGGGATTGTATATCTTTTTGTGAAGGAAAGGAGGTGTATTTATAGGTTTTTTGGGATGGGATTCGGGTACTCGATCGGGTATATACATGGTACCCGATCGAGTACGTGTGTAACACTCGATCCGAGGCATACTCGACCGGTTTCAGGCTATTTTCTAAGAGTATACCCGATCGAGTATATATGAATACCCGGTCGAGTATGCTTAGAAAATGGTATTCGGACCATACTCGACCGATCTTCATTTGAAATTCAAAGGCATACCCGATCGGGTATGTCGGTCTACCCGATCGGGTATAGACATAAAATCGTGGCCGAAATCTTCCCTGCATGTTCTCTTGTCTTCGGATCTGATTCGATTTGAAGTTCCAACCTAATACCCGATCGAGTATAGCTAATACTCGACCGAGTATAGACCAAAATTCAGGATCTTCTTTTGTCTTTGAACTTTTGCACCTTCTTTTCACTTTTTGGGTTCACCAACTGTCTTCGAGTGACCAAAACCTGCTTGAGCTCAGAATATATCTAATCTAACCTATTTACAAGAATTTAACAATCTAATCTATTACACCAAAAGTGTGTAATTTCCAAAGTAAAAGTCAAGCAAAACTAATTAAAAACATAAACATAAATATGGAAATTACGAACGTATCAACTCCCCCACACTTAAACCTTTACTCGTCTCGAGTAAGATCAAATGTTTACAAGTGTCAATGTTTGTCCAAAAGTTCCACAGTTCAACAAAAACACAATACAAACACAAAGACCACCAAGGATGACAAAGAAAAATGAGTTTTAAACTCAAATTACAAAAGAGCATCTTGGGTTTAATGGCCTCCTAGTGTTATCTTCTCTTCTCCTCCTCTCTTCTTCTTTATCTTGAATCTTCTTATTCTTCATAGGGATACAATGAGTGCCTGCAAGAACAAACATTTCTCTCATATCTCTCATTTTGCCTAGGAGCCTTTTCAGGTTTTCATCCTAGCACCTCTTTTCATTTTCCATTCTCTCCAACTCACTCATTTTTTTATAAGCCTTTTTTGCTTAGATTGCCCATTTTGTTGGGTTTTCAACCTAACTAGCATTTATTTTCTTTTGTGTATTATTTTTTTTTTTAAATTTTTTTTTGTGTGTAAAAGTTCAAAAGAATTACATGCATAGTGCTAGGTACAAATGAGAATTACATACCATCATGAGTGTCTCCCCCGCACTTGAATCACGCACTGTCCCTAGTGCCCGCCTTCTCCTCCGTAGTAGCTCCCTCCAAAGCCGCTCCCTTGGCCACCATCTCCCATGTAAGTGTCCCCGCCATCTCCGCCGTTGTACCCTCCACCACCGGAGCCAGTTCCTCCAAAGTTACCCCAATGAGTGGAGTCATACCATGAGGGTGGTGGAGGAGGGTTCGCCATGGTATGGAAGGATCCCTGTTGTGCCATAAACGAGTACATAGGCCCGTAGAACCTATGTTGGTCTTCCTCATACCGGTGTCTATCGGCCTTCCGGAGCTCCTCCAAACGTTGAAAGCCGGCCCTTTGCTCATCCTCTAATCTTTGAAAACCGGCTCTTTGCTCTTCCTCTAATCGGTTGAGCCGGTTGTCCATTTGGGCTATTCCCGTAAGAAGTTGTTGTTGACCCTCCAGAAGTTGTTGAAAGAAGTCGGGTGGTGGAGGGTTTTGGCTTTGTTCTGGGAAATCATGGCTCATGGTTGGATGGCTATGGAGTTGCTCATAGGGCTCGTCATCGGGTTGGTTTTGGGGGAGTTCCTGTTCTGGTTCTTGAAGATGTGGTGGGAGGGCGTTTGGGAAGAGGTAATGTTGATCCGGTCTGCCTGTTTTGAAGTGGAGTTGGGGGAGTTCTGGGTTGGGCAAAAGGAAGTATTTGAGGGGTTTGGGGTGGATGTGCCAGTTGTACATATTTTTGGGCCTTTCTTCACCATAAACGGTGTGTGAAAAAGATGTACAACCCGAGTGGCCCAGCCAAGATATGTTCATTAAACAGTAGTCGGGTATAGGAGAGTCATCCGTATACCCGAACTTTGTGGCCAAGTGCATAATCACCCCGCCCACTACGATAGCACCATTTGCCACACTTTCCTTCTTTAGATGAGCCCACATGAGATTACAGAGGTTGAAATCCACGTGGATACGGAATAAGGCTACCGAGATGAGGCATACATCCCCCATCCTTGTATGATGGTTGTTGGGACGTCCAAGCAAGGAGTTGGCAAGGAATTTCAAAAAGAGGCGTAGGACTGGATGTTGGACATGACTAATGTAGAGTTGGGAGGAGCTAAATTTGGTCTCCCCGGTCATCTTGGTCCATAGGGTGTGGCCGAAGGCGGTATTGTCGGATATAGACTTTTGGTACGGGACCGGAATACCAAAGTGTTCGGCAAACTCAAGTTTCGTGATGGTGTGATTGTGATTAAACAATCGAAACCTGAGTTTATCATCCCTAAAGTCCTCTTCATTATTCTCAAAGTGCACCGAGCTTAGGAATTCATAGATAATTTTTTCATTTGAGTTGTATTGCATTTTGAAAATTTTATCCATATGCAACTCATGAAAAAATTTCTTCATTATTGTGTATACTCCTAATTCCTTTAGAGCATCAAGGCATAAAAAGCGGGAAGGTTTGACTTGCCTTTCAATTGTGGACATGAAGCGTGTGCGTTGTTCGTTGTCCACGAAGAGGATGTCCTCGTAGCCCGGGATGATTGCCCTAGTGTTTGAGCTTTGCCCTTTCTCTTTCCTTGGAGCCATTTGGAGTGAATTTGGCCTTTGAAAACTGAAATTGGAAGGTGGGGGTAGGGTTTTTCGGACCTCTGAAAGTTGGGGGAGAATGGGATTGGTGGGTATGAATGTGTAGAGGAGGATGAGGGGAGTGTTTTGGCGTTGGAATGGGTGGATTTGGTGAAGATTTGGAAGAGATATGATAGAGAGAAGGTGTAAAAATGGGGTTTGGGCGTTTTTTGTTCGAGATAGGGTTGGGAGTTTGGAGAAGATGAAGTGTTTTGGGGCTGATTTAGGGTTATAAGACCCGTATACCCGATCGAGTATGTGCTGGTACTCGGTCGGGTATGGCTGGAAAGTGTAGTTTTTGAGCGGCCTGCCTCCTGTACTCGATCGAGTAGGGTGGGGTTACCCGGTCGAGTATGCTTAGAAAATGAACTTTGTGAGCAGCCTGTCTCCTGTACCCGGTCGAGTATTCCTCCATACTCGATCGGGTATATGCTTTTTTTTTCATTTTTGAAGCGGGTACTCGGTCGAGTGTGGGAGTCAGTCCCCTTAAATTTTAGCATTTCTAGCAATACCCGACCGGGTGTATAGTGATACCCGATCGGGTATTGCTTATTTTTCAATTTTTGAATGCTCCCTCGATCGAGTAGTGCCCGGTCCCTTTTCTTTTTGCTCATACCCGACCGAGTATAAGGTTATACTCGATCGGGTATGTCCCCAGATGTTCAAAAACCTGCAAATTTTTTATTTCTTTTCTTCTAAAAAACCCATGATTAGTGCCCTCTCTCTCAACCTCTCAAAGACATAATTGAAAACATTGACAGGGGGGTTAACAATAAAAGAAAAAAATGTACCTTGCTTGGGTTGCCTCCCAAGAAGCGCCTTAGTTAACGTCGCGGCACGACGCCATTGTTGTGTTCATTCTTCAAAGATTGGATCGATGAGATCCATGCATTCAATGCTTTCTTTCTGGAAACCTTCAAGGAATGGTTTGAGTTGATGTCCATTAACCTTGAGGATTTTTCCGGTATCGAGGCTTTTTATTTCCACTGCGCCATGGGTGTAGACTTTGACCACCTCGAATGGTCCTTCCCATCGTGATCTCAATTTTCCGGGGAAAAGGCGAAGGCGTGAGAGAAAAAGAAGGACTTTGTCTCCAACTTGGAAATCCTTTCTTATTATCATTTTGTCATGCCATACCTTCGTCTTTTCCTTGTAGATGGCGGCATTCTCATAGGACTCCAATCGAAGCTCTTCTAGTTCCTGGAGTTGTAGCTTCCTTTGCTCTCATGCTTTAGCCATGTCGAGATTGAATGTTTTGACCGCCCAATAAGACTTGTGTTCGAGTTCGACCGGAAGATGACAGACCTTACCGAACACGAGTCTATAGGGTGACATTCCAATTGGGGTTTTGAAAGCGGTCCTGTATGCCCATAAGGCATCATCCATGCGCAGGCTCCAATCCTTACGGTTCGGATTTACTGTCTTTTGAAGAATTGATTTCAGCTCTCTGTTTGATACCTCAGCTTGACCGTTTTTCTGTGGATGGTAGGCGGTGGAGAGTTTATGTGTGACGCCATATTTCTTTAACAAGGTACTCACAGTTTTTGTTGTAGAAGTGAGTGCCTCTGTCGCTTATCAAGATGTGTGGTACCCCAAACCTTGAGAAGATGCGGGTTTTGAGGAATTCAGTCACTGCTTTGGCATCATCGGTCTTTGTGGCTTTTGCTTCCACCCATTTGGATACGTAATCCACCGCCAATAGAATGTATAAATTTCCATGGGAATTAGGAAAAGGTCCCATGAAATCTATTCCCCACACATCAAAGATCTCCACGTAGAGCATAGGAACTTGTGGCATCTCATGCTTTCGAGAGATGTTGCCCATGCGTTGGCAATTATCACAAGATTGACAATAGACATGAGCATCGCGGAATAAGCTTGGCCACCAAAAACCACATTCAAGTACCTTCATGGATGTTCGTTTTCCTCCAAAGTGGCCACCACATGCATGTGAGTGACAAAAAGTAAGTATGGATGCAATTTCTGTTTCGGGAATGCATCTTCGAATGACTTGATCTTTGCAATGTTTCCATAAATATGGTTCATCCCATACGTATTGCTTTGCATCATGCTGGAGTTTCTCTCTTTGAGCTTTAGAGAAGCTTGGTGGAAACCTGTTTAGAACAAGGAAATTAACAATGTGAGCGTACCAAGGACGAATTTCCTTAAGGGAGAAAAGGGTCTCATCGGGAAATTCGCCTCGGATATCATCTTTGATATGATTATTTCCTTCGCCCAAGACCAAACGGCTCAAGTGATCGGCCACCAAGTTCTCCATGCCTTTCTTGTCCTTGATCTCAACATCAAACTCGCTCAGGAGTAGTATCCATCGAATCAGCCGTGGTTTGGCCTCTTTCTTTGTCATCAAGAACCTAATAGCCGCATGATCGGTGTAAATGATCACTTTGGTACCAAGTAAGTATGACCTGAATTTTTCGAGCGCATAAACGACGGCCAACATTTCTTTTTCGGTAGTGGCGTAGTTGCGTTGGGCGTCATTGAGTGTGGTGGATGCATAATAGATCACATGAGATGCTCTTCCCACCTTTTGGCCCAAAACGGCCCCGACCGCATAGTCACTAGCATCACACATGATCTCAAAGGGAAGAGATGATAGGCACTAGTTGTTAGTGCCTAAGTATACATTTTTATTATTGTTTGTAATGTTTATTTACTAATTTTGTGCAAGTTTATAGTTGTTAGTTTGCATTTGATTGTAATCGTATTTCTAGCATTTTATTGTTTGTTGTAAGTTGTAGTTAGTTTGGCTATAAGTTTAGGATAGGTTTGGAGTCAAAAAGGATGAAGAAACCTGAGTTTTGTGCAAAACCCGGTCGGGTATGGACTTTACCCGGACGAGTATGAAGTGACAAAGGAAACTGCTGCAAAACTAGCAAATACCCGGTCGGGTATTCCATATACCCGGTCGGGTATTCTGTGATTTCGGACCAAAGAACGTGCAGAAGACACAAAAACATGGGAAATATTTGATTTGGTAAATACCCGGTCGGGTATGTCAAAATACCCGGCCGGGTATCCGGCATTAGGTGTTGAAAACACCTATAAATAGCCCCATTTTCCTTCACATTTGAGCATCCCTTCTTCCATTCTCTTTAGCTCAGCTTAGAATAGCATTTCTTTATATTTTTCTAGCTATGTTTAGCCTCCAAATGAGGAGCTAAACTTCCATTCTTGGTTTTGCTCTTGAAGCTTGTTGATTATTAAAGTTGTGAGTTATTTTCTTAACTTCTTCTCTTGATTATTAATTCTTCCCTTAATCTCATTCTATATTAATGTTGGAGGGTTGCTAAGTGACGATTAGTTAACGTTCCGACATTAATTACTACTAGAAACGATCAACGAACCGATGGTTAATCGTTGGTGGTTTCACAAGTAAGTAACTTCGGTTTATTAATGCACGGTCGTGGTTAATAGACTTAAGAGGGATCAATTTTGTTGGTTAAACCGAAACCGTTGTGTTAAGGTTATCAATCTCAATTGATTTCATCAAGGAGTTAAAAAGATTGAATGCTACTATTATATCGGTATAAGGCGTTGTTCTATATTTGATTAATAGTAAGGGTTATTAAATAACGGTCGTTGTTAATAACTACCCTCGATGAATTGGAGATACTCCTCGATTGAGTATTCGAGAGGGGATAAGTTATAGATATAACAAGGATCGACTAAAATATATCAACAAGTGGAAAGTAGCAAAGCCAAGTCCCTTTTATTCTTGAATTAAACACATATATGTTGTTCATCTTAGTTTTTAATTAAATTAAGTCACTCAAACCAAAAACCCCCCTTTTTATTCATTAAGTTCATAAAAAGAGAATTATACCTTTCCCTGTGGATACGAACTCTACTACGCTATACTACGTATAAGTGTTAGTATTGAATTTATTTTGACGCACCGTGACAAAGTGCTCGTCAAATTTGGCGTCGTTGCCGAGGAAAGGCAATTAATTTTTCTTTTTATTTTATTTCAAAGAGAAATCCAAAAAAAAAATATATATATAAAGTTTTCTATTTTTGCTGATATTTGTTTGAGTATATGGTAAAAACCCGATCCATAAACCAACTCACCTACCAAACAAACCCCGAAATAGAAAAAGTTCTCGAGCGGTTAAAGAATAAATTCTCAAATACCGACTCGAGGGAATCCTCAAGTGCTAGTTCTCAATCTAGCGAGTCCGAAGAGTCAATATCAATGGCTCTTGATACAAGAACGCTAAGGGAGCTCACAGCCCCCAATCTAAATCAACAATCCTTATGTATCACCTTCCCAACTCTTGATGCGGGTGCTACATTTGAGTTGAAATCCGGACTCATACATCTACTTCCATCTTTCCACGGGCTAAGAGGAGAGGATCCGAATAAACATCTTTCGGAGTTCCACATCGTTTGCACAAGCATGTGCCCGGACGGTGTTACCGAGGAGCAAATTAAGTTGAGGGTTTTCCCATTCTCCCTCAAAGACACCGCCAAAGATTGGCTATTCTATCTCCCCTCGGGAAGCATAGACACTTGGGCAGCCATGAAGAAGAGCTTCCTCGAAAGGTATTATCCCGCCTCCATCTCCTCATCTTTAAAGAAACAAATCAGCAATGTGGAGCAAAAAGATGATGAATCGTTCTACGAATTCTGGGAACGATTCAAGAAACTCTGTGCGAGCTGTCCGTATCACGGCTACTCGGAGCAAGACCTCATCCTTTACTTTTATGATGGTCTTTGCGATGATGATAGACGGATGATCAATGCTGCATGTGGAGGAGGAATAGTCAACAAAACTCCTTCTCAAGCTAGGAATCTTATCTCGGAGTTGGCCGAAAATTGTAGACACTATGATCGGCGGTCAACAAAGAGAGTTATGGCAGCGGAATCCAACAACTCGTTGGAGAGTCAAGTAGCCGGCTTGACTTCTTTGGTTAAAGATTTCCTTTTGAATCCAAAAACCCAAGAAGTCAAGGTCTGCGGCATCTGTTCAACACAAGGGCATCCCACATATTCTTGCCCAACTTTACAAGAGGAGAACTCCGAGCAAGTCAATGCTTTGGGGTTCCAAGGCCAAAGGAGGTACGATCCTCACGGCAACACCTACAATCCAGGATGGAGGGATCATCCAAATCTAAGGTACGGAAACCCTCAACCCCCTCAACAAACAAACCCTCCCCCTCCTCAACAATTTAAACAACAAGGCCAAACATCGAACTCAAGCATGTCCACCGAAGACATGATTCGAGCATTAGCCATGAATATGACTACGATGCAACAAAGTGTGGCCCAATTTCAAGAAACCACAAAGTCTAGCATCCACAATTTGGAAAGCCAAATGAGCCAAATCTCAAACGCCGTGAGTAGGCTAGAAGCTAGGGATTCGGCAAAACTCCCATCTCAAACGGAGCCGAACCCGAGGCAACAAGCTCATGCGGTCACTTTGAGAAGTGGCAAAGAGTTGGTTATGGCTAAGGCGAAAGCAAAGAGCCATGTGGGAGAAGAGGAGGAGGAGATCTTGATGCCAAGCACAAACCCTCAAAATGAAGAAGAAAAGGAGGAGGAAATCACACCTCAAAGAAAGTTCCCACCGCTCAACTCATATGAGCCGGTGCCACCTTTTCCGGAGGCTCTCAAGGATAACCGGAGATACAACAATGACAAAGACATCTATGAGACCTTCAGCAAATGTGAGGTAAATATTCCTCTTCTCAATTTAATAAAAGGTGTTCCTAGGTTTGCAAAGTTTTTAAAAGAACTTTGCACAATTAAAAGGAAACACAAGTTGAATGGAAAGCATAAAATCCAAGTAAATGAAAGAGTGTCGGCCGTTTTTCAAAAGAAACTGCCTAAAAAGTATAGTGATCCGGGAATGTTCACTATACCATGTAAACTTGGAAATTCTAGTTCTTCTAGGGCTATGTTAGATTTGGGTGCATCAATCAATGTCATCCCGTATTCTCTATATAAGTCCCTAGAACTAGGACCTTTACATGAGACGGGGGTCGTTATCCAACTTGCCGATAGATCTAATACCTACCCAAAAGGTGTGGTAGAGGATGTTCTCGTCATGGTGGATAATTTAATCTTTCCCGCTGATTTTTACGTTCTTGAAATGGAGAACGATAAAAATGCAGTCCCAATTTTACTAGGCCGCCCCTTTTTGAAAACGGCTAAGGCAAAAATTGACGTCTTTAGTGGAGTGTTAACCATGGAGTTCGATGGTGAAAGAGTCGAATTTAATATCTACGACTCCATGAAATACCCCACTGAGGATCACTCTCTATTTGCGATTGACACTTGCGACACTTGGGTCCAAGATGTATTTGAAATTGAGGGCAAGGATGAAGCATTAAGCGCAATAGAAAACGACATAGAGGATTTTACATTGGAATACTCTATGTCAAATAACATGAAGATTATGGTGGCGGAGTTAAATCAACTCCCACTTTTGCCACCGGGCTCTAAAGTCCTCCCACTAACCATTCCAAGCGAGAAGCCGCTACCATCTGTTTTGCAGGCACCGGAGGTGGAATTAAAACCACTCCCTGAAAATATGAAGCATGCGTTCTTGGATGAGAATCGCACCCTACCGGTGATTATTTCAAATGCCCTGTCCCAAGAACAAGAAGAAAGATTGATCGCGGTCTTGAAGGAATATAAATTGGCCATTGGATGGTCTATTGCCGACATCAAAGGCATTAGTCCATCCACATGCATGCACAGGATCTTGCTCGAAGATGAGGCCAAAGCGGTGAGACAACCACAACGAAGATTGAACCCACCCATGATGGAGGTGGTGAAAAAGGAGGTAATCAAATTGCTTCAAATGGGAATCATTTTCCCCATTTCCGATAGCAAGTGGGTGAGTCCCACTCAAGTGGTGCCAAAGAAGACCGGAGTGACGGTCATTGAAAACAAGGATGGCGAGATGGTGCCCACCCGAGTTCAAAACGGGTGGCGAGTATGCATTGACTACCGAAGACTCAATTCGGTGACTAGGAAAGACTTCTTTCCATTGCCTTTTATTGATCAAATGCTAGAGAGGTTAGCTGGGCACAAGTTCTATTGTTTTCTCGATGGTTACTCCGGGTATTTCCAAATACCAATAGCCCCGGAGGACCAAGAGAAAACAACCTTCACATGTCCATTTGGCACTTTTGCCTACCGACGAATGCCCTTTGGATTATGCAACGCACCGGGCACTTTTCAAAGGTGCATGATGAGCATCTTTTCAGAATTTGTGGAGGTATTCATGGAGGTCTTTATGGATGATTTCACAATCCATGGCGACTCTTTTGACTCTTGCCTATATCACCTCACTCTTGTGCTAAAGAGTTGCATTGAATCCAACCTTGTGCTGAACTCTGAAAAATGCCACTTCATGGTAGAACAAGGGATTGTTCTTGGGCATGTGATCTCATCAAAGGGGATCGAGGTAGACAAAGCAAAGATCGATGTGATTCAAACGCTCTCGTACCCCACAAATGTACGGGACACCCGCTCTTTCCTCGGTCACGCCGGTTTCTATAGGAGATTCATCAAGGATTTCTCAAAAATCTCATCTCCTCTTTGCAATCTTTTACAAAAGGAGGTGGAATTTAATCTAAACAATGAATGCAAAGAGGCTTTTGACACTCTGAAAGCAAGATTGGTGACTGCCCCGATCATACAGGCTCCCGACTGGTCTCTTCCTTTTGAGATCATGTGCGATGCAAGTGACTATGCGGTGGGGGCTGTTTTGGGCCAGAAAGTTGGAAGAGCCTCCCATGTCATCTACTACGCCTCATCAACCCTCAACGAAGCCCAAAAGAACTACTCCACCACCGAGAAGGAAATGCTAGCGGTGGTTTTTGCTTTGGAAAAGTTTCGTTCCTACCTTCTTGGAACAAAAGTTATTGTCTACACCGACCATGCCGCTCTTCGATTCCTTATGACAAAGAAAGAAGCCAAACCAAGACTCATTCGATGGGTCCTTCTATTGAGTGAATTTGATGTGGAAATCAAAGACAAGAAAGGAGCGGAGAATTTGGTGGCTGATCATTTAAGCCGCCTCATCCCTCACAAAGACATCGAAGACCTCCACACAAATCTCATCAAAGGAGAATTCCCGGACGAAACTCTCTTCTCCATCAAAGTCACACAACCATGGTACGCAAATATCGTGAACTTCCTCGTTTCCGGCAAATTTCCTCCACAACTCTCAAAATCTCAAAAAGAAAAATTAAGAATGAATTCAAGACTCTATGTGTGGGACGACCCATATTTGTGGAAGCATTGTAAGGATCAAATAATCCGAAGATGCATCCCTGAATATGAGATAGCCCACATCATAGAGTTTTGTCACTCTTATGCTTGTGGAGGACATTTCGGCCCGAAACGAACAGCAATGAAGATACTTGAGAGCGGTTTTTGGTGGCCGAGTCTATTTCGGGATGCACACGGCTTTTGTCGATCTTGTGACAATTGCCAAAGAGCGGGCAACATTTCCAGGAGGAATGAGATGCCACAAAACCCCATGCTTTTCTGTGAGATTTTCGATGCATGGGGTATCGACTTCATGGGACCATTCCCAAATTCCCAAGGTAACATATACATCCTTCTTGCAGTAGACTACGTCTCCAAATGGGTGGAGGCCAAAGCAACAAAAACTGATGATGCCAAGGTGGTGGCTAGTTTTCTCAAATCACACATATTTTCAAGGTTCGGGGTCCCTCGAATTTTAATTAGCGATCGAGGCACACATTTTTGCAATAAAATTGTGGGATCCCTACTGAAAAAATATGGTGTGACTCATAAAATTTCTACAGCCTACCACCCTCAAACAAATGGCCAAGCGGAGACCTCAAACAGGGAGTTGAAATCTATACTCCAGAAAACAGTGAACCCGAATAGGAAGGATTGGAGTATACGCATTGATGATGCGCTATGGGCATACCGAACTGCTTACAAAACCCCCCCTTTTTATTCATTAAGTTCATAAAAAGAGAATTATACCTTTCTTTGTGGATACGAACTCTACTACGCTATACTACGTATAAGTGTTAGTATTGAATTTATTTTGACACACCGTGACAAAGTGCTCGTCAAGAGACCAATCCGGGGCTTGGATGATAGGTGCGGTTACTAATTTCTCCTTCAAAGTATTGAAGGCCTTCTTGCAGTCCTCGGAGAATATGAACTCCACCTCCTTTTGCAAAAGTGTGCATAAAGGAGATGCAATCTTTGAGAAATCTTTGATGAACCTCCTGTAGAAACCTGCATGTCCAAGGAATGATCGTATCTCCTTAACGGTGGTAGGATAAGGTAGTGATTGGATAACCTCCACTTTTGCTTTGTCCACCTCTATTCCTTTGGACGAAATTACATGGCCTAGGACAATTCCTTCCTCCACCATAAAGTGACATTTTTCAGAGTTTAGAACAAGATTTGATTCTAAACAACTCTTCAAAACAAGAGATAGATGAAGTAGGCATGATTCAAATGAGTCTCCATGGATTGTAAAATCATCCATGAAGACTTCCATAAATAGCTCAACATATTCAGAGAATATGCTCATCATGCATCGTTGGAATGTGGCCGGGGCATTGCAAAGTCCGAATGGCATGCGCCGGTATGCAAAAGTGCCAAATGGACAAGTGAAAGTGGTCTTCTCTTGATCTTCAGGGGCTATAGGCACTTGAAAGTACCCGGAGTAGCCATCAAGAAAGCAATAGAACTTATGTCCGGCAAGTCTCTCAAGCATTTGGTCGATGAAGGGTAA